AACCTTTCACGACATGTCCCAAAATTTCCCTAATTGGCTCAGTGTCAAATGTTAATAACATTCCTGGGAAGCATTTAGCAATGTTTTACTGCTTTAAATGCACATGCTGTAGTTATAGGACACAAAAGCAATTCAGAAAGGTGTGGATTGTTTAGGATACGTACATGAGGTGGATTGAGATTCAGGACTTCCAACTGAAAACTGAACTGTGTAAAGCTGTACTGTGACTCAGGAGAGAAGGTGAAATGTGTATCATCCTGAACACCATTTCTGCACTGGGATTGTCATTGTCATTTAATGTTTTCAAGTAGGAGTTAGATATAGTTCTCAGGGCTAAAGGGATCATAGAGTATAGGGATAAAGCAGCGACAGGATACTGAGTGTGGAGCAGATTCAAAAGCCTGAATGACCTACTCATGCTCCTTTTTCCTACATTTTTATGTCATCTATCATTTGCTTTACTCTGAGTACTTTTCAGAAAGAAGGCCTGCACTGTCAGCTGTGTATATGAGCTCCACTCTGGCAAACTTGCCAAGTAAAATGATAAGGACTGGAAAAAAACATTGGATTTTACAATCAGCCAATTAAAAAAGAGACAAGCTTTTAATAGAAGTGTCACAGCATGAAATGAAACCACAGCACTAAATCACATCTGTTAGCTTAACCTTGCAGAAAATAACCTTGAAATAAAGGAAAGCAGAATCTGGAAGGAGACTGTCATCTGATCAAACATCCCTCAACGCATATTTGCAGATGCAGAAGTCAGCATCAAAATGGTGTGACAGGCACAAAGCAATTGGGGATGCTCCAGTTTCAACACTTTTCAATTCTATCTTTCATGGACTCCTAGGCTACTCCTATGTAACTCTTAGATTTACAGTAGCACGTATATACCAAACCAGACATATACTAAGTTACAGGATGACTTGGTATTTAGAGTAAAGTCAATCGGAATATTTGCCCAGAATCAGCCTCTCACATTAAAAAAAATTCACAGTCAAATATCCAGATAGCATGTTTCCAGAATGGAATACAAAGAGAATTATATTACGAATGGGATGAAATATCACCATCTTACAATTGGCTTACCGTCTGGGTTTTAAGCTTTTACTGATGTAACAGGCAAAAGAATTTTCCTATAGGGACACATCAAAACATCAGAGTGCCAATAATACAGTGCAATTTCAGCAATGACATCTCTTACACGTTGCATCTTGCCTGTGAGACTGCACACTTCAAAACTTAAAAAAAAAGGTTGACTGTAGTGTTATCATTGCTACGTTGGCTTGGAATTTACAGTCAGTGGTAAAGAAATGCTATTCAGCATTCTTCGTGCTTACCGCAGTAAATGTTTCACAGGATCTTGATCAACAGATCAATGTTCCAAAAGATTCTTTTCAAAATGTGCCCTCTGCAGAGGATCTGTGGCTTGTGTAAGCAGGCAGGCAATAGCATGATTCTCTCAGAGATAGTAGGAACTGCCAATGCTGGGGTATGAAATAACAAGGTGTAGATCTGGATGAACACAGCAGGCCAGGCAGCATCAGAGGAGCAGGAAAGCTGATCTTTTGGGTCTGGACCCTTCTTCAGAAATGGGGAAGGGGAAGGGGTCTCTGAAATAAATAGAGAGAGGGGGACGTGATGATGGAAGGTGGATAGAGGAGCAGATAGGTGGAGAGAAGACGGACAGGTCAAGGAGGTGGGGATGGAGCCAGTGAAGGTGAGTGTAGGTAGGGAGTTGGGATGGGGGTTGGTCAGTTGGGAGGGAGGGGCGGGTAGGTGGGAGGAAAGACGGACAGGTCAAGGAGGTGGGGATGAGCTGGATTGGTCTTGGGATGAAGTCGGGGATAGGGAGATTTTGAAGCTTGTGAAGTTCACATTGAGACCATTGGGTTGCAGCGTTCCCAAGCGAAATATGAGGTGCTGTTCCTCCAGCCTTCAGGTGGCATCGTTGTGGCACTGGAGGAGGCCTAGGATGGACATGTTGTCCAAGGAGTGGGACGGGGAGTTGAAGTGGTTCGCGCGCGACTGGGAAGTGTAGTCGTTTGTCACAAACCGAGCGTAGCATGATTATCTAATTGCTCAAAATGGAAGATTGAGCCACACAGTGTTTAAACTAGGAAGTATAAATTAGAATGTTGATTTTATCGTAAAGCCACATTCCAAAGCAAAATGAATAGATGGAAAGAACAATGAGATCCAGTGGAAAAACATAGAAAGTAAATTAAGAAAGATGTTTCTGAAACGGTCTCCAATGTGGCCTCTTCTACATTGGTGAGACCAAACTTAGACTCAGAGATTTTTTCGTAGAGCATCTGCGCTTTGTACGCAATAAATGACAACACCTTCCGGTTGCCAACCATTTTAACTCCCCCCTCCCACTCCCTGAATGACATGTCCATCCTGGGCCTCCTCCAGTGTCACAATGACACCACCCGCAAACCGGAGGAGCAGCACCTCGTATTCCGCCTAAGGAGCCTACAGCCCGATGGTCTAAATGAGGATTTCACCAGTTTCAAAATCTCCCCACCCCTGGCCTCATCCCATGTCCAAGCTCCCTCTCATCCCCACCTCCTTGACCTGACACAACCTGTCCATCTTCTATCTCACCTATCCACACCTCCCAACCCACACCCCAATCCCTACCACTCCCTACATGCACTCACCTATCACCATCTCACCTACCTTCCCCAGTCCCACCCCTCCTCTCTCTATTTATTTCTGAGCTCCCTTCCCCCTCCCCATTTCTGAAGAAGAGTCCCGACCTGAAACATCAACTTCCCCGCTCCTCTGATGCTGCCTGGCCTGCTGTGTTCCTCCAGCTCCACACGGTGTTGTCGCTGGATCTGATCTGTCTGGTCAGAGTCCATGTATTGTGCATGTGTAAATAAACAGTGACTTAGTGATGGGATACTGACTTCTGTGCAGTTATTTCATTAGTCCTGGCTGGTAAGGTAACTGCTAACAGGAACAACCATTGCAATGAGACATTATATATAAAGAGTCCTTGATCTTCAGCTCATCACTTACATAGTAACAATGGAACAGGAGAAGGCCATTCAACCTACTCAAGCCAAATCTGTTGGAAAATACTGATCCGTAACTCAATTCTTTTCATCAATCTTTATTTAACATGTCTAAAAAAATCTTTTTGATTTCAGCCTTTAACGTTTCAACTGACCTCAAATCCACAGCTTTTTGAGGGAAAAGAGTTCTAGATTTCCACCACTCACTGTGTGAAGAAAAAGCTTCTTGATTACATTCCCAAATGGCCAAGATCCAACTTTAAGAAAAATGATCGCTGTGTTCAGTTACCAAATTCTTCAGACATTTTAGCGACCTCAATTAAACCTCTGCTGAACGCTTCAAATTCAAGGAAATACCTATCATATGCAACCTATCATAAATGAATTGATTAAGCTCCAGTATCATCCTGGGAGTCCACAATGCACCCCCCTACAAGACTATATAGCCTTCCAGAGATTCATAGCCCAGAACTGAATATTGTTACTCCAGATGGGGTCTAACCAAGGTTTTGTGTATTGAAGATGAACCTCCTTACTTCAACTTCATTCGAATCAATTTCAATAAATATTGACTCGGCTGTTCTTCGCAATTTCTACCTGACCTGCTGAATTTTTCTGGCATTTTCTGTTCTTATTTAAAACAAATTGTAGCTCATCTTTCTCAGGGCCAGTCTCGATAACCTCATACTCCAGCATACTGAACTGTCCTGCCCACTCACTCACGTCTGCCCATGTCTCTTTGTAACTTGGTGCTTTTGCCTGCACAGTTTCGTGTGCCACCTAAGTTAACATCACCCTAACAAACTGGACACTGTGGATTTTGTTTTCATGGGATGTGGTCATCATTGGCAAGGCCAGCATTTGTTGCCCATCTCAAACTGCTCTTGGAAAGTTGGTAAGCCTCCCTCTTGAACTGCTGCAGTTTGTGTGCACTAAGTACATGTGCTGTGATGTTAAGGAGGAAGTTACAGCATTTTGTCCCAACGTTTGGCTTGCCAATGAATTTGCAAGTGATCCCCATGCGTCTACTGCGCTAACCTTTAGCCAGAGGGAATTTTGTTTATCTTATCAAAACCCTACAGATTTTTTTTAGCACTTTTTACATCTCCTCTTGACTTTCTCTGCTCCAAGAAGAACCATCCCCATTCCTGAGTTGTTCAATTTACATCATTCCTGGTACCATTCTGTTGAAACTCTCCAAGGCCTTAAAATCCTTCCTAAATTGTGGTGCAAGAATTAAAACACAATCCTCCAGCTGAGGATTAACCAGTGATTTATAAAGTTTTAACTTAAGTTCAGAGATAACACAGTGTGGAGCTGGAGGAACACAGCAGGTCAGGCAGCATCAGAGGAGCAGGAAAGTTGACGTTTCGGGTCGGGACCCTTCTTCAGAAATCTGACATAACCTGTCACAACCTGTCCATCTTCTCTTCCACCTATCCACTCCTCCTACCTCACTGACCAATCCCCACCACTGCCTACCTGCACTCACCTACCGCCATCCTACCTACCCTCCCCAGCCCCACCCCTCCCCTCTCTATTTATTTCAGAGCTCCTTTCCCCCCTCCCCCCATTTCTGAAGAAGGGTCTCGACCTGAAACATCAACTTTCCTGCTCCTCTGATGCTGCCTGGCCTGCTGTGTTCCTCCAGCTCCACACTGTGTTATCTCTGACTCCAGCATCGGCAGTTCTTACTATCTCTGAGTGAGTTTTAACTTAAGTTCCTTGTTTTTGTACTTTGTACCTCTATATAACCATGGAATGATGAAACTATCTGAATCTGCAAGGGTGTAGGGACCTCACCTTTAATTCTGTCATTTTGCAAATTATAACATGAATGAGTAATTATGGATTTGGAGAATTTCCCAGTTTCTTTTTTTTTTGCAGCATAGATCTCAATTTCATAATTTCAATTGAAAGTGTAGATTAAAAAGATCAGACAAAGTATGGAAAAGAATCCAGAGGAGAAAGTTGTATCTCTTAATACTATATTTAATCTCCAAGATACAGAAATTCCATACAGATTTATGTTAAGTCTAAAAACAAACATAAAACAAAATCTCTCAGCCTTTGGCTCAAATTCTGCCTGAACAATAATGCACAAACATACCTGGGCACAGTATTAAATAAACTGCACGCCAAAGTTAAAGCAGCATGTTTCTTCTGTATAGCTAATGACACACTGAGCAACAAATCAATTCAATTACTCAATAAATAGTCAACATTCCCTGATGCAAAAGAAAACTAATGCACAAAGATTAAAAACCAGACAAATATTAAAGACAGTTCAAAATTTTCACAGTAGTCATTTTACACACTCTCAGCACACATTGTACATTATTATATTATTTTTGCTTGGCTCCCAAGGTTCAAGTGTTTTTTATTTCAAATTTGTTTTATCTATTCATTTCTCTTACAGATTTAAAACTTGTGCAATTGTTCATCAGTCCATCCTGCTACCCAGAACAGTTTGTATTTTCTTGTCTTCGATCCAGGCGCAAACTGATTGTTAAGCACTTTGAGACATCTGATGGTTGTAAAAGATGCCATATAAAGGCAGGTTTTCCTTTATTCATCCACTGAAATTGGTGTTATGCAGCACTGTTCACATTTATTGAATGTCATTCCGGTAATTTGTTGTGGTTATTAGTAAATCACGTAAGAAAGCTGTCATCCAATAGCAGTAAGTCTGTAATACCTGTGTTGTTAAATACATTAACCTGACGTTACAGGTACTGGCAATCCAGTCCTGTTTTAGCCAGCACTAAAATTTCATTCAACAACTTGAGAACACTGGCAGCTTTTGTTTCTATTTCATGTTCTCTTTGATTTTTAAAATGAATCAATATGGATAATTCATAACAAACAGTCCAGTTTTTCATGTTCATTCAACACGTTATAATTCCAATAAGGCAGCTTCTGTGCTTGGCAATGGCCATCTCCAAGAAAAGGTGTCAACTATGCCTGATCTTTAGTAACCTCATCAGTGCAGAGTCCACCACTGTTGATATGTTGACAAGAAGCTAAACTGGAGAAACCAGTGGCTTTAAGATCAGATACTGGATACTCTTTGACCAGTGACTCACTTGAATGATCTATGCCTTTCCATCGTGTCGAAATCTCATGAGTGTGATGGAATAGACACCTGAATATGGTGCATGTCCAATAACCCAAGAAGCTCAGCACCACTAATGGCAAAACAGTTTGCTAGATTGGCAACACCACACCTGAACTCAAGATCTACCAATTCCACCACCAGGACATTTTCAGCATGCACTATTCACTGGAAGAAGAACAGGGGTTCACCAAATATATTCTAATAGCACAGCCCAACCACACAAACTCTACTAAGGTCAAAATTGGCAAAATAATTGGAACATTTTCACCTCCAAAGCTCACAGCATCCTGACTTTAAAATGACCACAAAAAGGAACTAAGGGTATCAAGACCTGCAAATACTTTCTGTCCCATCAATGTTATATAGAATCATAGAATAAATAGTACAGGAGATGTCAATCAGTCCAACGCACCTGAGCTGGATTGAATGACCAATGCTTTCCAATGGAAATGTAAATTTATTAATGTTAATTTAATTTAATATTAAATTTAATATTAAATTCTACTTCTGCATTTAATCTGATAAGATTATTGCAAGTAAAGATATAAATGTAAACATTGAGCAAGATTCTAACACATAAATCAAGGGGAAGAATTAAGATTGTAAGTTGGTGAGACTATATTGGGAGTAACACTTGAGTGGAGAGGTTCAGCCAATGATGGAGATTAACAGTAGAATTTCATGCATTTAGCTGCAATTGTCAACCCTGGGCTTTTTTGATTCCAATATGAGATAGAGGATAGCAGAAAGAAGATTTTTAAGATCATAATTTAATATCAGGTAAATTTTAAAAGAAAATTATACACAGAATTGCAGAGCTGGGAGAATCAATTCAAAGTGAAGGGAACTGAAATAACTTAGCACCTAGGCTAATTTCTTTAGCAAAGGTTTATCAACATATGAAAAGAAATCAACACTTTGTGGAGATGGAGAACAGACAGCCTATAAATGAACATGTTCTTAGCATCTTAAGGTAGTTGTGGTTATTACATTTTCTGCAGAAACAGCGATGGAACCAACCATTCTGCAATAAAGCAGGTATAACGAAGTCATTTCCAATCAGGTTGGACCAACCTTTAATAATGGGAACTTCCCACAGAGGGGAAGAGAAAGATTTATAAAACACAAACATTTTACCAAGCAAATTCATTTTAGCTTATCTGCAATCATCATGCATTATTTTTTGTAGTTGTGGCTCAGAACGCAGCAGGCCTGTGTAAAGCTCACAAGCGCTCAGCAGTTATGATCATTATATTTGTTGAAGAAGCTTTGGTTGTTTTGTTTTACTTCAGTCAAATGATATTTAAAACTTCTAACTTGTTAGTGGAAGCAAGCTAGCTGTTGTTGCTTCAACAGCACTATCTTCATACGGACCCAAACATTCACTTTGCCTCTGGCTCACACACTGACACGATGAATGGTACAACCCTTACTTAGACATTCAGCTTCTGATTTCAGGTACTCCTTATGTTTTATCCAACCACTGTGTAACAAACCAGTCTAAATCTATATTACTAATTTTAGTTATGATCTGCCCCAACCAGGGTGAACTGCAATTCAGCCAAATCTTAATTGGCTCTGAATCTACATTTCTTTGCATCAGGGCAGCGCTTGACTACGAGCTCACTCAAATGTGCACAAAAGCCCCAAAATACCTACTATTATTTAAGATCTGTTCCTTTATTCGCTACAAATATTTTCAGCTACAGGGCTAAATAAATATTGAATTACACATTTCTAAGCCACACAATTTATTGAAGCACATGATGTTTCTTCTTGTCTGTCTAACAATACTGCATTATGTGTTACAAGTCAGTACCTCTGCAAATGGGCCAAGAAGGTTTTCATTAATGATGCACCTTATCCAAACCATGTAGGCTGTAAATGGTTTAATGTTTTCCATGAATGTGTAGTTCTGATAAGGCAGGATGTAAGGCATGTAGGTGTTCTCACCTCGTTCCTGGATCCATACCTCATACTTCACCTCTTTTACTTTTAAATACTTCAGGTTCCAAGGTACTTCCCATGAAATGGACAACTTTCCAACATTAGTGACCTGTTCAGGGGAATGGCACTTGGAATCTCTCACTTTTCCGGGATATATTAAACTGTTTGCCATAATCTTTTTGACAGGAAGTTTGGATCCCACTGACTGATGAATGGCACTCATCACTGATGGGATATCCACTATGGTGTCCTGATAAACACGAAACAGCCATTCAGGATTTCGGCAGCATAGGTGGCGAGGAACCTCTTTGCTCTTTATTATACGCTCTTGTTGAGATTGAGCAAGGTGAGCAATTCCACCTTGTTCCCATGGCCTATTGGGATGGGTAACCGTATTCTCCTTCTTCGTATTCCGCCAGGCAACATACTGTAGATCCATACCTGGGAGAGATGCCAGGGTTTTATAAGGCGTGTAATGGTCTGGATTAATAGCATAGGGGTAAAGTTCAACAACTACAGCACCTGGGGACAGAAAGAGTGCCATCACCAGCTGAGCTCCATGCATGCTGACCAACATAGAGGCTCCACGAATTAATCGCACAAGATCACTAAAAGAATGGTCATCCAGAGTTACCACAATAGTCTTCATCTGAAATTCCTGTGCCAAACCCAAGATCAATTCCGCTTCATTCAGAATTAACCTATTGATTGTGCGACTGAACACCACAATGTACCCTTCACCACTGGAGTCTGTGGTAATATTTAACTTTTCCACCAGGAAGTTTGCAAATTGCCTAATTTCATTCCCCGATATCAATATGTTTGCTTTTGGTCGCTGAGGTTGAACAAACCCGTACTGGTACCAAGTTGTCATTTTTGACAAACCAACATAAGACTTTGTAAAGCAAAGCAGCTTGCCAAGACCTTTCAGGTGATCCTTCAGAAGGGGTTGCTTGTTGCTCAGCAATTTGTAAAGGTCAAAGTGTGGCCCTTCATTCCAACCTTCCATAAACACCAATCGTGAGTCTTGGTCCAAGTCTGGGAACAGTTGCATGGTGTAGTAAATTGGGAGGAGATCATCATGAAAGACATGCATGAGATTGTCTGGGTTGAAACGGTTCATAATCAATGCAACGTCTGGCACAAAGACAGGTTTCGGCATGAACTTAAGAGCATCAACAGTCAATTCTACAAAATTGAAGTACTGTGCGCTATGATCCTCAGCAGAAGATAAGTCCAGCAGAGCAGGCTGGAATCGCCGGGAGCCTAGATTTGGCAGCAAGATAGAAGCATTGCTGTGGAAGAAGACAAACTCATCAACATCAGTAGAGTAGCAGAGGGATTCAAACCGGCAGATCCGCTCAGTGTGCATTGTTCCTGTGCAAGCCATTCTGGTGCCGTCTTCCATGAGGGCTTGCAATGCAGCATGGTAATCAATCTTTATTTGGGACAGCTCTTGAGTCTGTTGGGAACGCAACAACTCTTCCTCTATAGACACAGCATGTTCCCACAATTTAGCATACTTCCATAACACAGCCGCTAGGAAGGACACAAGCAAAGCATTGAAAATAATGGCTATGCTCATTCTGCAATGTAGTCTATGCATGTAGGGACAGATGCATTTCACAGCGAAGAGATGGCGATGAGAGCTTCTTCAGCCAAGGCAGAAGTCAGGATTCTTTAAAAAGAAGAAGACAGTATTATCAGGCAGTTACTTCTAATCAAAACCATTGAGAAATTCTTTTGTATACCCAACATAAGATGAACTACCAATTAACAATTTGCTTTTATATAGCACCTTTAACAGAATTACCCAGGAACACAAATAAAATTTGACATTAAGCCAGATAAGCAACCAAAAGCTTGTTCAAAAAGGCTTTAAGGAGCATTTTAAATTTAAAAAAAGAGGTAGGGATTTGGAGCGATTTAGGTACAGCATTCATAATTTGGACCTAGGCAGCTGCAGGTATAGCTGCCAATTCTGGAGTAGCGATAGTCAAAAGCATAAAGCAGTGCAGAAATCTTGGACTATTTCAGTGGTAGAGAGGGGTGAGGCCATTAAGAGATCAGAGAATGAGGATGAGAATTTTAAAATCAAGGTTTTTCAGAGCAGGCTGGAGGGGTCAAATAGCCTACTGTTGGTCCTATTTCTTACGTTCTTTCTCTCCACATTCCCTTCAGTGGCCTTTCTTCCTGTGTAGTTGGGAGGGAATATTTTGCACTGAAAATATTTGCTTCCTCAGCACTCTTCCAACTCCATGTCACTTAAACAAAAGCTTACACTTTACAAAATTTGTAAACAACAAATAATTGGTTAACTCATTACATCTGCACATTCTAATATACAATTATTATCAACTAGCTCAAGGTTTAAAAAATGTTTTATCATTGAGAAGAACTCAAGGATCACAGAATCACATAATTCACCCTAACCAGTCTGTAATGGCATTTATTCTCTGCTTGAGGCTTTTCCCATTCTTCCCTCTCTAATCCTACCAGGATAACCATATTCCTTTCTCTTTTGTACATTAATCAAAGTTGCTCTAAAATGGATCTATATTAATAATTTCAAACACACTTCATGGCAGCAATTCCATATTATCACCACATGTTTTTCCTGAATTCTCCACTGTATTTTTTGGTGATTATTTTACATTGAGGACCTTTAGTTATGGACCTTTCCTACAAGTGGAAATATGTTGCTCTATCAAAACCTTTCAGAATTTTAAGATCTTTATTAGGAGCCCACATGTCCCATGAGAAGGTAACACAACAGGAACATGGGAACATGATCTAACCATTCAGATCCTCAAGCCTGTTCTGCCATTCAATGAAATCATGGCCAGCCTGTATCTTAATTCCATGTTCTTTCATACAACAATAATTTAACCATTACACTATCAAACAACCGAGGAGAGTACTACAATGGCTTCCTACAATATGGTGCTATATAAATGCAAATTGGTAATGCACATCCTAATGATGCAATCACGTAAATATTTATAATATAACACTTCTAAAGCAATTAATAGAGGTCAGTATAAAGAACAAAACTTCCATTTTACAATGCTTCCATATAACAATAAATAACTTGACTCACCCCTTTCACAAGACATGCTCCAGTATATTTTATTACACTAATTCCACACCCCTCCCAAGCAATGCTTGTACATTATTTAATGCATTTTACAACATATTTCGCATATTCTACAGCCATCTGACATTGATATATTAATTGAAACATTTCTCCTGTCAAGAATTAAACTGTAGTGATGTTCCAACTTTGAGACTGTTCACTTTTAACCAATTACATTTGGAGTAATATCAAATTGAAAGTGATTAAGATTCTTTAGTTGCTATCTGGTCACTCTTATCCTCCTAACCGTATCTAACTTTTTCCCCACTCTGTCACCTTTATAGTTGCTTCCTACAATTTGCCAACGTCCTAAATGCTAGATACATTTGGTGTTTTTTGTAATTTTCCAAGAAACTGAACAAGGACAGAAATAAACACAAAGTCAACATTTTCACAGCCAGCTACCAGATGTGAATGTGGGATCCAGGTGCAAACCAGACTTTTGTATAACATGAATAAAACAGCGAAAAAAAATTTTTTTCAAGTACAGCAAAAGCTTTAGTCAGGAATGCTATTTATGTCAAATATTGTTTATCTATTTTCAGAATAGGGTAATGTATATTTATGGATGCACACATACAATCTCTCTCTTGCATACTCAGAGGTTTTGTGTGAAGATGATAATGATTAATCAATGTATTATAGCATGGTCACACTAAGCTCCAGTGACAGCTCTCTGTGAAAAAAACACTGGGATAGTTCCTCATGTCATATTGGATTTCATCCAACTATCCTCTCATCACAGCACAGGAAGTTGGGTTTCCTATTGTCTCTGCCACCTTGCTTTAGTTACAGAATCTTCTTAGCATTCCTCCCCACCCCAACAGGTTCTCTTTCCATCCATCATCTCTAACATCATGGATTTCCACCTCTTGGCTAAAACAAATCTCCACTCTACCTCCTAATTAACCAACCTATCTAAGAGCAGTAGAGACGTTGTTGGTTCGGTGTTGCTCAATAAAGGTGGATGTCAGGTTACATTACTGAAATATTATTGCATCAGAACCCTTTTCTGATGAAGGGTCTAGGCCCGAAACGTCAGCCTCTCTGCTCCTATGATGCTGCTTGGCCTGCTGTGTTCATCCAGCCCTGCACCTTGTTGTCTAAAATAAATTCCTACAGCTTCTTGCCCACCAGCAATTGCTAGAACATTTTTAACCAGCCACTATCTTGGTTTTACTCCCAGACATAGAACTGCAATATTCCAATCCACGAATCTGCTCTCTGAGGGTTCTTAAGCACTTTTCATCCTGAATTTGACCTTGAAATCTATTCTAGCTCTTCAAGAATGTATAACATTTTGAACTTGGGAGTCAGGTGGGATTTGTGTTCAGATATATTCAAATTTCAGAGTGACTGTAGAGCAGAAATGGATTCATTGTGTTGCAGTCTGATTGCAATCTTACTTATGGTTCATCATTTTGTAATGGATTGACTTTCAAAATAAATGAAGCATTGAAAGGCAATTTTAATTCCATGATGACTAATTCCCAATTGTAGGTGAAATGTGTTTTAATTGGCTACTCTCAGCTGCAAACCTAATTGGTGCCAAAAAATATTCTGCATTCAGATTAACTGTGCTTCACATAATATAAAACTCCAGCTTGGTTTCTATTGATGTGATCACAGGCGAACAGGAGGAGGCTATTTAGGTCTTTCAGCCTGTTCTTCCATTCACTGACATTCTTATCTTAACTGCATTAACTTGCCATGGCTCTATGTCTTTCTTTATTCTCATCTACAAAAATATATTGATCACAAATTTAAAATTATTAATTGAGCTATCATCTACCACTGTTTATGGGAAAGAGTTCCACACTTCTTCCATTTTTTTGTCAGGAAGTGTTTCTGAATTATCTCCTGGATGCCCTGCTATCGTCCCCTTGTTTTAGGCTCCTCCAGCATAGAAAATGTATCTCTCCATCAGCCCTAACAATTCCTTTCAAAGTTCTAAAAATCTCAATGAAATTGTCCCTTAACAATATATATTTTGCAGGGATTATTAGCCTATCTTACAAAGCCTTATGATGAAGCTGGTAGTATTCCTGCTTCTGAATAGAAACTCTGGTTTCAAGTCTCACTCCATGAATAGATGGCCAAGGAAGAACTCCTCATAATGTGTCCACATAGGTTGAGATTTCAATCTGTCAGCACGCACCAATGACAAGCAGGAAGAGTGGGGCAGATACCTGATAATCCTTGATGGGAAGAAATTGGAGCCTCCATAACTCCAAACTAAGCACATAGCTCGCCTGGAATTGTATTGGAGGCTGCATTTGATATATCACACTGGGAACAACCACCCCACCCCGTGCAAAGGCTGAGGCTTAACTGATGTTTGTTGACAACTATGAAAAGGTTTCTAACTTGATCCTAGACTTTGACTGTGCACTGAAACAACACAATAAGACAGCAGTAACATGAGCCTAGTACCACTAGCTGAGAGGACAAGGCGCAAAAAGACAAAGCATGATATTGTAAAGCTTTGGATGCTCTGAGCAACCAGGCAGGCTCAGAATATGAATAGTATGACAGTGAGCAAACAAGCCCATTGATACAACTTGATCCAGTCTATGAGCTGGGTGCATGTCCCTAACAGTTTCCTTGCAGCAATGTTACACGGATAGTTGCCAGTACAGACAGAGGTACAGCACTGAAATACTGAAGAGTCCTGTAAGTGAATTGGAGATACGCCATGAGGTTCATAAGAGTCTGGTAATGTGCTGGATACCAATACTGTGCAGGTGGGATATGTGCGGCCAATGTCCGCAGAACGTGCTCAGAAATGTTGGTGCCCTGTCTCCAGAATGGAGATCATTCAGAGCAAGCAGAGAGCTGAATCTGCCAAAACAAACAGAGGTGCTTGCTCTGGTTTCCTTGTTGAGTTTTACTGACAAATGCTTGGCAAGTTTGGTAAGTTGGGAAGCTGAATATTAATGAGGCAATTTGTGCCATTAGAATCATAGAATCCCTACAGTGTGGAAGCAGGCTATTCGCCCCATCCAGTCCAAACTGACCCTCTGAACAACATGCCACCCAGACTCACTACCCCTACCCTTATCTCTGTAACCCTGTATTCCACGTGGCTAATCCATCTAGCCTACACATCCCTGGACACTATGGGGCATTTTAGCATGGCCTATCCACCTGACTTGCACATCTTTGGACTGCTGGAGCAAACCAGAGCACCCGGAGGAAACTCATGCAGATGCAGGGAGAATGTGCAAAGTTCACACAGACAGTCACCCAAGGATGGAAGTGAACCTGGGTCCCTGACGCTGTGAGCAATGCATGCCTTTGCATGGACATGTAAGAAAGTGTTTAACAAGCATTACTCTTTTTCAATTGGCATCTCACCACTGACCAGTGAGAATATTGCCACACTGCTTGTGAAAAGTGTAAAAGATGGAAGGAATTAGTCCTGATGTCAGGATGGGCCTCGCCATACTATTTGCTAGACTCTGCCGCACAACTCACCAGAGTCTACGTCGCTCAGATCCCTATAAGATTCTGCCCTGTATCTATTCCACTAACATTACTAG